AGGAGGAGGAGGCGGCGGCGGCGGAGGAGGAAGGGGGGAGAGTGTGCGGGCGGAGGGCGGCGGAGACGCGGCGAGCCACCGAAGGCGCGAGCACACTTCGCGTGTTCGAGGGGCGGGCCCATGCGGCGCGCGCGCGGGAGCAGCGAAACGGGCGGCAGGGTGTGGGGGGGGGACTGGAGACGGAGAAGGGGCTTAAGTAGGGGAACGAATAATGAAAGCATAAAAACTCGGAGGTCCGCGCGGCTTTCTCGGATCGGCGCTGGGGCCCCCCTGGCGGCGCCTCCGGCGCCGCCCCTGGCGCGCTCTGCGCGCCAGGGAGGGGGGTCCAGCGCGGATCCAAGAAATCCGCGCGGACCTCCGAGTTTGCATGATTTTTCGTTCCCCTAACAGGGAGGAGGAGGAGGAGGAGGAGGAGGAGGAGGAGGAGGAGGAGGAGGAGGAGGAGGACGAGAATGGCTGGGTGGGCGCGGTGGCCGTTGATCGGTGCATCGTGCCGTAGCATGTGGGGGGGCGAACGTTACCTCACGTTTTCCGCACGCGGCGGCGGAACACTTCTTGTACGAAACCTGGAGGACGAGGAGGAGGAGAGGGGGCAGAAGGAGGAGAGGCGAGGAGGGCAGAAGGAGGAGAAACGCGAGGAGAGGGGGGCAGAAGGAGGAGAGGGGGCAGAAGGAGGAGAGGGGGCAGAAGGAGGACGAGGAGGAGAGGGGGCAGAAGGACGAAAGAAAGGAAGACGAGGAGAAGAGGGGGCAGAAGGAGGAAGGGGGAAGAGGCTCGCGACAAGACAGGCAGCTACGGGGCGAAATTCAGCCTACCCTCGGCAGCACTCCAGCCTGTGCTCGGGGGTAGGAGGGGGCGACAGCCGCTACATCTTCTTGGCGCGGGCGAAGTGCAGGCGCCGATCTGAAGCCCCAAACGCCGTTGAAGGGGGACGACGAGTCCCGAGTGATTCATAGTTCTGTTTTTGATCCTCTTCTCTCCTCTTCGTCCTCCTGCCTCTCCTGCCCCTCCTTGTTGTTGCGCCTCCTCCCCCTCTCCCCGATCACCTCCTCCATGTCATCCTCCCCCTCCTCCCCCGCACTCCTCCATCTCATCGTCCTTCCTCCTCCGCCTCATCCTCCTCAATCTCGTTCCCCCTCATCATCACCCTCCTCTTCCATCCTCTTGAACCTGCACCTCCCCCTACCCTCCTGCTCCTCATCATCATCAGCTCCACGTTCTCCCTGCTCATGTTCCACACTGTCCTCCTCATATGGCCACTTGTCCTCCTTGCTCTCCTCATCCCTCCTGCTCCTATCATCCTCCTGCTGAGTCTGCACTCTGCGGCTCTTCCTCCTCGTGCTCTTCCCCGCTCTCCTCTCCTCCTCCCCCTCCTGGTCCTCGCCTCTTGCGTTCAGTTCTGCAGCCGCAGTCGCCGCTCTCGCGAGTGGCTGCTCGGCCGCCATATCATTGCTGGTCCGCGGCCCCTGGACGGGCCCTCTGTGCCACGAGGCCTCCCTGTTCCTCGTCTCCCGCGCGGCCGCCCTCCCCTTCCTCTCGTTCGTTCGCTCGCCGGACAGTTTGCCTGTCGGTGCCCCCGACTAGCCCGACGCTGGTGCGGATCGCCTCCGCCTCGCCGCCGACGAAGAACGTGCTCCTCGTCTCCTCGATGATGATGGTGACGATGATGACGATGACGATGATGATGACGATGCTGATGATGATGATGATGATGATGATGATGATGATGATGATGATGATGCTGCTGATGCTGCTGATGCTGATGCTGATGCTGATGCTGATGCTGATGCTGATGATGAGAATGCTGTTCCTTGTCTCCTCCCTTCTCGTGTTCCTGGTTCTGCTCTCGTGTCTGTCATTGCGTTCACTCCTCGCGCTTGGTCCTGGGAAGGCCCTGCGCCTGCTGCTGCTGCTGCTGCTCCTCGGCAACCAAGAAACACGGGCCATGGCGATCACGTGGCCGCTCCTGGTGGCATTGCTCGGGTGTGTGTGTGTGTGTGTTTCTTGTGTGTATGTCGCGTATGTGTTGTGTGTTGTGTGTTGCCTGTGTGTTGTGTGTTGTGTGTTGTGTGCGTTGTCTGTCTTGTGTGTCTTGTGTGTCTTGTGTGTTTTGTGTGTGCTGTGTGTGTGTGTGCTGTGTGTTGTTTTGTGTGTTGTGTGTGTTGTGTGTTGTGTGTGTCTGTGTCTGTGTCTGTGTCTGTCCGTGTCCGTGTCTGTGTCTGTGTCTGTGTCTCTGTGTGGGTGTGGGTGTGGGTGTGTGCGTGTGTGTGTGTGTGTGTGGGCGTGCGTGCGCGTGTGTGTGTGTGTGTGTGTGTGTGTGTCTGTGCGTGTTTGTGTGTGTGCGTGCTTGTGTGTGCGTGTGCGTGTGCGTGCGTGCGTGTGTGTGTGTGTGTGTGCGTGCGTGCTGTGTGTGTGTGTGTGTGTGTGGGTGTGTTGTGTGTGTGTGTGTGTGTGTGTGTGTGTGTGTGTGTGTGTGTGTGTGTGTGGTGGTGTGTGTGTGGGGGGGGGGCGTTGGTGTGTGTGTGTGTGTCTGTGCGTGTTTGTGTGTGCGTGCTTGTGTGTGTGCGTGTGTGTGCGTGCGTGTGTGTGTGTGCGTGCGTGCGTGTGTGTGTGTGTGTGTGTGTGCGTGTGTGTGTATGTGTGTGCTTGTGTGTGTGTGTTTGCGTGTGCTTGTGTGTGTGCTTGTGCGTGTGTGTGGGTGTGCGTGTGCGAGTGCGTGTGTGTGTGCGTGTGTGCGTGTGTGCGTCTGGGTGTGGGTGTGGGTGTGGGTGTGAGTGTGTATGTGTGTATGTGTGTATGTGTGTATGTGTGTGCATGTGTGTATTTCCTCGGCGAGGGTCATCGAGGAGCCTGTTTGATCATATTGCGGGAAAGCGCGCACGACACCGAACAAAGGACTGCGAACTGACGTCCGAGCGATGGCGAGGGGCGGACCGCGACTTCACCCACGATCTGCCGGTCGTCGGCCGAATGGCCCTGGCCCGTCCAGCGAATGTTCGCCCAAAGATCCGTCAATAAGGGGGTATGAGGGGTTAACCGTTTCCCACACTTCTTCCCTCTCCTCCTTGTTACACTTCTCACGACTATCGTTCTCCACCTCCTCCTCATTGAACGCGGTGTGCACGGCGGCGTTCATCATTCTGGTTCCGATGCGCAAGAGTGGCGAGTCAATTGTTGGTGCACTTCGCCACGTGGAAAACTGATGGCATTGATCACTTCAGTTGGGAGGAGCTGCCCAATTTGCGCCGAATTTCTTGCATGTGTCCGCCAGGGTAGGATGATGTGGAGGGAACAGCGGGGGGGAGGAGGACCACTTAGGAGAGAGCATGGCGGGAGAACAAGAGTAGGAGGAGTGGAGGGGCAGGAGGAGGAGGAGGAGAAGCAGGAGCAGGAGCTAGCAGCAGCGGGAGAAGACCCCGCCCTTTCCAGCAAGGCCAGCTGAGGCGCCCACGGGCGGCATCCCATCGCTCAGTCTCGGCGCACCTGGCCAGCTGAGGGGGCCGCCTCGCAGAATCCGGGAGCGGCCCGAAGCCCTCACCGATTTTTTGTTGCATGCGGATGGCTTCGAATGACTGAAGCTCTCCTCTGGTGATAGGCACACCCTCGGCCCCAAGGCGGCGAGGGTGTGTGTGTGCGGATCCGACGGGGGAGCAGCAAGAGGTGCACGAAGGAGACGAGCAGGGGCTCGGAGGGGGATGAGGACGCGGGGCGGGCGGGGGGGAAGTGGAGGAGGGACGGGCGGGGGGGAAGAAGCAGAACGGAGGAACGAGGGGGGGATGGGGGAGGAGGGGGGGAGGGGGGAGGGAGCGCGGGGTGGAGGGGAGGGGGGAGGGGCAGGCTGAGGAGGAGGGCCAGGGGGGGTAAACCGCAACGGAGGAGTCGGAAGGGGTAGCGATTGGAAGCAGTGGGGCAACATGCGAATCTGGCAGAGCATTTGCAATTCTCAATCATAGGCCGCGCGCTCGGGAACGTGCAGCAGCGTGGCAGCTTCACCCTCGCATTCGAGAGTCGCAGCGGGCGCATGTGGGTCGTAAGAGGCGTGATCGACGTCCTTATTGGCGTTCTGACTGTGGGTTGTTCGATGCTGACCGCCACAGTACTGCCGCTAATTTCTGGATGAGCCTCGCTGCGCTTACTTCGAGAGTTGCCACACTTAGCATGCACGATCTGTGCCGCATTCCTCTCCCTCAGGCCGTGGAGGCGTTTCTGGGCAAGTCCAACGAGCTTGTGCCCACCAGAAAGCTCCAACCATGGCGTGTTTCGAATTCGCTACAGGGCTGCCATCGCCCCTTTTCTTCAAGGCGTGCTGTCACCAGGACCCAGGAAGCAGTTCGAGACGAGCATACAGAGTCTGCTGGCGAGATGGCCACACATTTATATAAGGCGTTAAGAGGCCTGTCGCCGAAGCCAAATGCAGCTTTAAGAGACCTGTTTAAAGAGACAGGCTTGCAAGAAACATGTCACCGCAATGCGTTCCCGACGTCAACGATGCCATGGAGGATGCGTGGGAAGCGTTTCTCCGAGCAACGGTTTGGATTGTCCAGCGCCAAAATAGCTTGGGTAGGATGAGCTGTTGGGCAAGACGTTGGCCTGAAGGCTCGCGCAGCATATGCGTGTAGACCTACCTGCGGGAGAAAACCTTGGGACAGTTATTATCCCAGTGGGTCGTCACAACGACTTCGCGAAGAGCCTGCTCGAAGCCAGCTTCACGGACATCGATGCGTCTACGATCGACCTTGTCGTCAACAATGCCCAAACCACAAAATCTCAAACGATATCTGTTGCGCAGGATCATGGGTTGTTGGGCGATTACAACATGTGCCCTTGCGTTCCAAATTAACCGTTGGAGGCGCCCGATTTGGCGGGCACTCATGTAAGTGCAAGCGCTTCAAGTGGATGTTGGTGGCATCGCTGCTTCGACCGGGTTCGTCACGGACCCCGTTGCATGTTACATCGCGTTCCTATTCCAGCCCATCGTCGATGCGCCCAGCGCTGTGGCCACGAGCACTTTGAATGTCATCGAGATCGTCGAGACCGTTGACTTGGATAGCGATGATCGCATTCACACATTCGATGGTGAACAACGGCACCCATCTCTAGATCTGGAAATGAGCAAGCATCTGATCGAGCTGGCCTGATTGCGGCATTACCAGGGTCACCGACACGGGGGCTTCAACATGCCCGTCCTCTTTGATTTTCCCAATGCCGTAGTGGATTATCAGCTCATCATTGTCCTAGAAGTTGTGCAAGCAGGGCCCATGAGAGTTTGGCAAGCAGGTGGAAGGCGTCTTTTCAGAATTGATATGCGCCACGCAAGTTGCCAGCCTATATACATCTACATTTATTTATACATATATATATACACATATGTATATATATGTATATATATATGCATATGTATACACAGTCTAGAATTTGACGTGCTTGGGGTGCCTGTACAGACATGCCAAAATTTGTAAAACTGCACATTGGCGGCATGATTGTATATCTCTGCTAGCAGTTCAAGGACATATTGGGCATCATGCGCATGTTCCAGCACACCATCGCCACACCCAACGAGTCAGGCGACCATCGTTGAGGGCACGATTTTGATATGTTTATATACACATCTATAACGGCGTACGTGGTGATGGCATGGCGCACTACACCAGATACCAGCATACATTGTATTTGCATGTGTGCACACGCCCCATCACCGAGGTCCGCGGGCCAATCATTAAGGACAGTTGTGGAGCAGCTTTCGGTGTTCACGAATTCTGTGTAGTTGTCAAGTTCGGGTCATGCGATACTCGCCCACGGAGTTACGCGATGTGGTGGGGATAAGACAATGGCAAGACATACCCAGGTTGCTCGATTGGCTGAGGCGTCTCAAGCAGCGGCGCGGCAGCGAAGTTTCTGGCCACATGTGGCAATTCCCCAAAAGTCGCGCTTCGCATCAGAACTCCCAGATTATGCCGGCCGGACCTTCAGCACTTGGTGCGGCGCGCATGTTCCGAACGCGCGATTTGTACAGTGCCACACTTCGAACCTCAATTCTGTTCAGGCGAAGGTACAGCAGATTCTTGCATGGGGGCTTCCTTGCTCGGGAGGTCATGCATCTTTATTACTGCGTGGTTCCTCGCTGTCTCAAGGGTTCCAAGATGGGTCTCCAGTCGCACTTGCATCGTACCTCTTCGTGCACGCGTTTTGTGCGCGTGCGCCGCGCGGCAGCCATTTGGGCCCATGCCTGACGGGCAGTCGCCCATGGATGGGTTTCCCACACTTCCGAATCATGGGGAACCCAGAAGTCGCAATCTTTAGGGTTTCGTGCGATCTGTTGGTATCCCATCGTTCCCCAAGCCGAATTATGGGAAACCCATAGGTCGCCAGATTCCCGATGGGGTTTCTGGCGGCCTATGGTTTCCGCTTACTTCTCCCAGCCGAACTATGGGAAATCCACAGGTCGCCGGAGTCCCATAGAGGTTTCTGCCGACCTATGGGTTTCCTAGAACTCCCAGCCGAGTTATGGGAAACCCATGGGTCGCCATATTCCCCATGGGTTTCCGGCGATTTGTGGGTTTCCCGGCGACTTGTGGGTTTCGCGTAATTCTCCCAGCCGAGTCATGGGAAACACATAGGTCGCCAGATTCCCTAGGGGTTTCTGGAGACCGATGTGTTTCCCATAATTCTCAGCCGAATTATGGGAAACCCATGGGCCGCCAGGTTCCCAAGGGGTTTCTGGCGACGAGTATATTTCCTATGATTCTCCCAGCTGAACGATGAGAAGCCCATTTGTCGCCAGATTCCCGCCCGAAGTCCCCAGGGAATCTAGCGAGCTATGGGCTTCCCAGAATTAGCCTGGCCGAACTATGGTAAACCCATAGGTCGCCAGAAGCCTTCTAGAATCTGGCGACCGATGGGTTTTCCACAATTTGAAATAATGGACAGCCCGTAGATGGACGACTGCCCCTTGCGGCCGCAGCTGCAGCTGCAGCTGCAGCCGCAGCCGCGGCTGCGGCTGCGGCTGGCTGCGGCGGCGAGCGGAATCCAGGTTCCGAATTATGAGACCCGTAGGTCGCCAGAAACCATTCGAGAATCTGGCGATCGATGGGTGTCCCATAATTCGCGGCGGCGAGCGGAGTCCAATGATGGGAGACCCAGAGGTCGTTAGATTCCCAAGGGGGTCCTGGCGACCTATGGGTTTCCCATAATTCGCCCGCGCCAGCGGCCCCATAGAATTGCACCGAATTCTAAAAGCCGCGCAACTTGCATCCGAAATCGCTCGCGAAGCGGGAGCGGCGGGCGGATTCCGGGTTCCGAATTGTGGAACACCCATAGGTCGCCAGAAACCCTTCTAGGGAATATGGCGACGTATGGGTGCCCCATAATTCGCGGCGGGGAGCGGCGTCCAGGTTCCGAATTATGGGGGGCCCATAGGTCGCCAGAACCTCCGATGGAATTTGGCGACCGATGGGTTCCCCCATAATTTCCCCGGCCAAATTGTAGGAAACCCATCGCCCTGAGGTCTGATATGCGTGAAATTTAAGCGGCACTGTAAATGCTTATTTCCAAAGTAGAGCAACCATATATGGTTATTTGCGTGTGACACCCACGTGTGTATATATATATATATATATATCAGTTCGGAATCAAGGTTCTTCTCTTAAAAAATATACTACATGATGTGAATGATGATGCCGATGTGACGAAGAATCAACAAAGGATGATGGAGGAAAAATGTTCGCGTTCCGATGGCCTGGCGTCTCTCCCGAGAGACGGGTGGATTTGAATAGGGGGTTCGGGGTGAAAGCCCACGGGCGCGGAGTGGCAGGCAAGCAATCCAGGGGGCCAGGTCGACCTAGGTCGCCAGATTCACCAGGGGGCTCTGGCGACCGATGGGTTGCACCATATTTCTCCCAGCCGAACGATGGGAAACCTAGAGGTCGCCAGATTCCCAAAGGGCTTCTGGCGACCCATGGGTGTCCCATACTTCCCCCAGCTGAATTATGGAAAACCCAAAGGTCGCTATATTCCCTAGGGGTTTCTGGCGACCCATGGGTTTCCCATGATCTCCCCAGCCGAATTATGATAATTTCATAGGTCGCAAGATTCCAAAGGTGGTTCTTGCGACCCAAAGGATTAAGGGAAACTGTTTCTCTTACTTCTCCCAGCCAATGATGGGAAACCAGAGGTCGTCAGATGCCCGAATGGTTCCAGGCGATCTTGATGGATTTCCCATAAGTTTCCCAGCCGAATTATGGGAAACCCAAACGCCGCCAGATTCCCGAAGGGTTTCTGGCGACCTGTTCGCCAGATTGCCGAAGGGATTCTGGCGACCTATGGGCATCCCATAATTTGCCCACCCGAATGATGGGAAACCCATAGGTTGTCAGATGCCCGACAGGTTTCTGGCGACCTATGAGTTTCCCAAAATGCTCCCAGCCGGATTAAACGCGTATGTTGCCAGATTCCGTAGAGGTTTATGTCGGCCTTTGGTTTCCCCAGAATCCCCCCAGCCGAATTATCTGAAACCCATAGGTCCCCAGATTCCCTATGGTTTTCAGGGAAACCCAAAGGTCGCCAGATTCCCCATGGGTCTCTGCCAACATATGGGTTCCCCATGATTCTTCCATCCGAATTTTGGGAAGCCCATAGGCCGCCAGATTCCCGAAG